AATTCGATCACTAACAAGGAAGAGGTGGGTTTTTGAACGACGCTCATGTGAGGCCTTTTGCTTGACCACGGGGAATGACGGTCACCTTGTTCACCGGGTCATGATGAGGCAGCAAAGATCCGACGATGGCATGGCCTCACAACGAAAAAGGACTCCAATGGATGAAACATGTTGGTGTCGCTTGTATTCAATCGACCTTTGTTGGATTCTCTTGGTCTTCTCTTCAAAGTATGTGTCGTGATCTGTCCACTCTTGAATATCTAGCGGTCTAGCGTGGACACACAACAGCTGAAACAGCTCGCCTGCTTCATGGTATGCAACGAGCTTCTTGGAAGCGTTGTTGTTCAAGGGACGCCCTTCAAGGCCCGCAATGACGCGATCTGTGGCATCGTTGATCTCGTCCATGGTTACTGCGCTCTTGTTGCGTCGAGCTGCCAGGATGGCGGATTCGTTCATCAAGTTTTCCAAATCGGCACCGCTGAAGCCAGCAGTTCGCTTGGCAATGTCCGTCAAGGTGATTCCCTGCAGCCAGCAGGAGCTTGGCTGGAGCGTGTCCCAGTTTCAAGAGAATGGGCGGAAACAACACAAGTCTTCCGATTCATTGTGTATGCTGTATGCATGTGTATGTGATGTCACATGTGCCATCTTATTCAAGCTGTGATGTCGCGAGTACTCAGTATTGGCTGGTTGATGTTTGTTCTAAACCTGGGGAAGCCCCGCCGGCCTCGGCAAGCTTCTTATTTCGGATGTGCACTTCTAAGATTTGCTCACGGCCCTTCACGTCTGGCAATCCCACAGTGACACGGCGATCAAAGCGCCCTGGCCGAAGCAAGGCATTGTCCAAGATGTCAGAGCGGTTGGTTGCCGCAACAACAATGACACCACTGTTGCCCTCGAAGCCATCCATCTCCTTACAAGTAGCTTCACATAATTTCTGCATGCTTCTACTTATGACAGCTCAACTTCGAGGTTGGTAAGATCATCCAAGATCTACCAAGGAGAAGACGGACATGCAAACACAAATGAATATATAGTATGTTTAGCTCGGAACAGTTTCGGTCAGGATCTGATTCAATGTCTGCTTCCGCTCATCATTTCCACCTCCTGTGCCAGCACCGCGCTGTCGGCCAATGGCATCAATCTCATCGATGAAAACGATGCAGGGAGCCTTCTCCTCTCAACTCTTGCCACTGACAAACAACGTTGGCAGGGGGATCTGATCTGAGAGGTTGATGTGACGTCATTCCTGCAAGTCTAAGGCCCCCCAGGCCCCCACAATATATTTCATTATATTTCTTAGGCGCGTTTTTCCTTTCAAATCTTCCTGAAGTCTTAAATCTTTCCCGCTGGCCACAATCTTTGGCACTCAATGCCTCATGATATGCCCGGCTCCTTGGCCTGTTTGAAGATGTCGCGCACGCGAGAGGCCCCAACACCCACAAACAGCTCAATGAATTCCGAGGCGGAGGATTGGATGAAGGGCACACCAGCCTCACCTTCGCTCTTAGTAGTCGGCAAGAAGCGACTATAAGAAATCCAACTCCAAGAGAAGCATCCACGAAAGCTTGCTTTGACTTGTCAGAATTAGTTGCATGCACGAACAAATTGACGGATCACCAGCAAAACACAAAACGGTTCCTACTCAAAATCATCCCCTCGTCGTCATGCGACCTGCCAAAGCTTTGGCCATGAGCGTCTTCCCGGTGCCCGGAGGCCCAGTGAGCAGGACGCCACGTGGGATCTTGGCTCCGACCTTCACAAAACGCTCGGGAGCCTTCAGGAAATCGACAATCTCCGTAAGCTCCTGAAACAACATCAGTCTTTCTCACTTCCGAAAACTATCAATCTAACAATATTATATATATACAATTAATCAAATTATACAACTATGGTATCAGAAAACGTGAATACCTGTAGAACTTGGGCACCCTGTAGTCCACTCTTGTTTCCACAGAACTTGTTTCTTTCAAAGTTCTTGAATACCTTCGAACACAGGAAAGGAGCGGGGGTCACTGGGTCCAATCTCCTCCTTTGCCTCATCAATTCCGGCAACGTTCTCAAACTTCACTCCCGCGTCAGGGGAAATCATGATTTGCGCCTTTCAGGAACACGCGATCGTCAACTAACACACACCGGCAAGCTGGCCAAGCTGGGCCTTGTATACACTGCAGACAAACCCCGGACCGAGGCATAAATAACTTAAATAACTGCAGTCTGAAGCAGAAACCAACTGGAAGTGCAGGTCCACGCTTCACCCCTTCCACAAGGCTCTTAATGATCCGGCCTTCCCTTGATTGCCAAGTCCTGGGACGCCACCAGCACCAGGGCTCTGCGATCGCAGGAAGAGCAAACCCCCGATGGTCAGCAGAGGCAACGCCGCATCAGCCAAAGCTCGGAAGAGCGGGTTGGGTTTGTCCTTGATTGCGCTTGTTGTCCGAACTTTAATCAAGCCTTTCTACGACACGCAATTCTTGATTTCAATTATTTCGATTGATTTCGATGTCCATCGTCAGTCATCCGAGATTCCGGTTGGTGCACATCAATGGCCACATTCTTTGCCATAAGCCTGTCGATGACCCCCTTGCTGGCACGAGGCAAATCGCAAATCAGCTGCTGCTCACGACCGGCAATAGTCACCGAAGCGACAGCAGTCCGGCCCGTGTCATACACGTCGACACGCTTCACCGCACCGTCCTCAAATGGTGACGTGTGATCTTTGTCAAATAACTCAAACAAGCTAGGTCTCCGCATTCAAAAGTATTCAAGCTCTCCTACACCATTAACTGATTGGCTTTAAATATATACTAAGTAATACTATATACAGTTAATATCAACAAAGTATATAAAATGCCTGAGAAGGGAGGGAACGAAAGCCAGTCTCCGTAAGAAGATATGAATCTTGCCAACAGGGGTGAACGCGAGAGCGCAGGCGAAGCGTTGGGAGACATAAGGCGGGGCCGATATGACAGGCTTTCAGTCACAGGCGGGGTGCCCTTTTCTTTCAGAAAGGAGCGCTCTGAGCGGCGCGTTTTTGCGTTGTTTCATTTTGTTTGTATTTTGTTTCTATATTTGTATTGTGTTTCTATTGATTTTTGTGCCACTGAAAGAATCCTATTCTGCCTCAACCCCCCCCTCCCCCAAAGGCAATTTCCAAAATTCCAATTTTCCAAAAAAAAAACAAAAAACAAAAAGACCAAAAAAACAATTGTGCCAGGACTTTGCCTCACCCCCTCTTCCCCCAATGGTCTGTGCAGAATTGTTGTTTTTTTGGACTTTTGGAAAATTGGAATGTTTTTTTTGACTTTTGGAAAATTGGAATTTTGGATTTTTGATGTCCTGGGATATTTTAAATTTTCAATTTTGTTGGAAGTAGACAATACTCCCACTTTCCCTCAATTCCAGAACAGTCTCTGAAACCAAATGACAAAAAACCTCAGTGATTTGCTCATTAGGGTCTAATAATGCTCCTTCTGCTCCTTTAACTCTAAAACCGGTAATACCTGACATTTTAGAAGTATAACCAGTAAAAATGACATCTGCCATCTTTTCAAATGACATACCAAAAATGAATTTGTTCTCTCTGTATTGACGATATGAAAAACTTAAACTGTCTTGATCTGGGTTCATGTAATGTAAAGCTCTTCTTAAATAGTAAAAGGTTTCTGATAATGATTGCACTTCAAATTCTGGGTATTTCTGGGAATTGCTTAATTGAATTTGCAAACTTAAACTACGGGTGGCATCTTGAAAACCTTTACCTTGTAAGTCATTTGTATCAGCATTACCAGTATCATTAATTCTTCCATAGATCATAGGATTGTAAAAATAATTCCATCTCTTATATACATAATTGTCAGGTAAGTATCGGTTCAAATCTTCACCACTTCTTGGAATTCTAAATAAGGTAATGAATGCTCCAGTCAGTTTAGAAGATGATTTTACA